CGAATTGCTGCCAGAATCAATCTAATTAGGAACGTTTTACCAGTTCCTCCTTGCGCATCTAAGAAAAAGAATTCTGCAACCCCGTTATTGACAGTTTGCCTTATTTGATCGTAAATGCCTCTTTGCTCAAGCGTTAGCTTGGGAATATTTGATTGCACATACGACAAAAGATCACCCGTGTTGTAATTTTATTCACGACGCAATTCTACATTGAACGAAGCAGCAGCAGATCGATTCCGTGATGACATTCCCAATTGATTGAGAACTTCGTTCGCGATTTCTAAGCACAAATCTTCAATCATTATCAACGCTTCGTTGCAGATTTCTGCTGTGAAATCCATGTTCACATTGGAATTTTCCTTGCGTTTTCGACGGAAAATATCTTCAGCCATGTGCAAATAATGCACGAATTTGATGTGGATGTGACGTGTTGCACGCGTCAGTAATGCATGTAGCGTGTTTGGGTACGTCACGCTATAAATAACTTTACGCCGTATTAATTATAGCAAATCTTTATTGTAATTCACTTGCGCACTTTACAATTATCGCCACTTGCACTATTAGAGTTACTGGTTACAAAATCCTTCGGCCAATACTTCTGTATCTCTTGGCGTCTAGGTTCCAAACTTCTTCAGCGGCAGCTATTCCAAGACTGAATAAATTAAACCCCCTTTTATAACCTCGGCCGCTGATATGCAAATGAGCCCTTGTCATAATCGCTGAAACGCTGCTTTGTTGATTCCGCAATTCCTACGCAACGACCCATTGTTTTTGCGTTGTCTCTGTGGGAACGCTCCGTGTATTCGTCGTAAACTTGGAGATTCGATACAGTATCGCTATTGTTACTTCCTATGCAACGGTCTGTTCTAGCGTTTCCATAGGGGTGACTCTCCTGAATTCCAAATTCCAATTCCGTTTTTCAAAAGAATTTTGTATAGATATATATATTATATAGATGTCACAGATGTGACATCTATATAATACGCATATGAAAACACGCGCGCATTCAAATGCAACGTTGTGTCAAAATTTCGAAGCAATCGGTGAAGAACTTTCGGAGATTTTCGAGGGGTAACAAACGCACAGTTACATTTTTATTTATATAGCTATATTATTTCACATGTTTCTCATGCAACGTCATGTCCGTATACAGAACAAATTTTGGCGAAGCTGCCTGCATAACAAGAAGAATTCAGCAGGCTTACTTCAAGGGATGTTAATAAGGACAGGGTGATTGATCACTTCTTTATATTGTGTAAAGGGAACAAGAATTCATAAATATTCTTCCATATCACAGATAGAAGTAATTATATTTTCGTCTGTCTGTACAAGACAGTGCACATGACCAGCGTATATCCAAGAAACTAATTCTTGACCCTTTAAAAAGTGACTTTTCTTCTAAACAATATTGCAACATAATCACTGAAAGCCGGCCTAGCGGAGCCAGAAGAAGCGCCCGTTGTTGGTCAAAGGCCAGTAAACACGCTCCCATGTCAACAAACACGTAACGATTCTCGGAAGCAGGAGGTCAGAATTGGTGGTTGGTCTTGAATTGCACTGTTAGACGCAGATACCAAGCAATGAATAGTGAAGATATTGAAGACTTGGTATTTGCCGTTGTGATTTTTGTACTGTGTAGATTAGCTAAAGTGTCAGAAACATTCCTAGTTACGTTTTATATGCATTCAATAAATCCAATTATCAACCAGAGCCCCGTGTCTGGTCACTAACGCGTGAAAATATAGTCGTTACTATACAGAAACATATGACGTCTCCGATACAAAGCCCAGCTGGTTAATGCTTTTGAGGGAAACAGTCGCTCTTTATTTTGAGAACTTTAAGGAGCGAAATGCAGAGGTTCGTATGTTAAAGCAGGTGGTACATTTAGTAACCACTGGGCTTTTAAGAGCTCAACACAAATACGAGACTCGTAAAACCAATTTATAGCAGTTTTTACTGCAATGCATACTGTAATCATACTCATTATTTTCATTTCACATAAACGATTGCATTATCACCTTGGTCCATAGTTACGTGTAGCATCCTTTCAGGCATATACAGAGTGTCCCAGGAGGAAAAGTCAATATTATATGAGGTAGTAATATGTCATTCTAAGCAAAAGAAAAGTGTGTACGTACATTTGCCCTATTCCGAACGGTTTCTGAGATAGAGAAATTTCACTGTACAGTACAATATACACTATACACTGTACAGACGAGCAACACGCCATATCCTCACACGAGTTGCAAAGTGCATTGATGTTGACGCTGGAATTTTCGAAAATGTATTATACTGGCTAAACTGTACCAAATTTGTCACTTTAACAATAAATGCTGGTATTAGAAAGAGTACGTGATACCTCTTTATCAACGATCTTGGAACTGTACAGTGAAATATCTCGGAAACCGCTCGGAATAGGACACATGTAAATGTACATTTCTTTGCTTAGAATGGCCGATAATATGACCTCCCAGAATATTGACACTTCCTCTTGGGACATGCTGTATAAAACTACTTTTACACACCTTTGTCGGCAAGACACGATGATGGCGCATAATTAGCGCCGAAACATGTAAACATTTTCTAAAATTCGTTCCTAGGCTGACACAGTTAATAAATTCTGCGTCTCCGTTTAACAAAACGGAAAGTACGAATTCAAATATACATGTACGCACTTTTATTTGGAAGATGCGTTCAGAGTATAGGTGAATGTTTGCGTTTCTCCTTGGTTCCTAAGTATATGATGTGATGTTTACAGATACCAGCAATCTTGCTCCGGAACTCTGAGTAACTCCATTTAATAGCAATATGAACTCAGTTGATCTACTTAGCACAGACGAGAAATCCATACACTGGTACTTAAGGGCTTATGTCTCTGTACAGTTGCAGTGTGTGTTGAATCTAACAGAAACAGGACGCAGCGGTGTTTCGGGCAAACCTGGAAATACATGTGCCAGCACCATAACAAACAATTAGAGAACTTACTGCGTTGACGTGTAACGTTCTCACCACTGGACCAAAGAATCGCGGGTTCAAACCCGGCCGATGGAAGTGGATTTTAAGGATTATAAAAATCTGTAGCATAACTTAATTCGGAAGGGTCTCATGTACATTTATGGCATGTCAGAGAAAACTTTACACTCTTGATAAAACATGAATTCCGTACGCTGTTCCTAGATGCCGTTGTAGTGGCTCGACTGCGGAGACCTCCATCTGAGGAACTTATCTCTTCTTAAAACGCCAGGAAGCACGACATTTCGTGGTATAACATAGAAACAAATGAAAACAATCAAGTCCCGAGCCAGCCAGCTCCTCACCGGTTTGGTTCATATTTTCGTAACTAACTGAAAGAATCGACGTAAACTGGTGTTATTCAGTGCTGTGTTACCAAACTCGGGTACACTGTGTTGCTGAACACAGTTCCCTTTCAGGCAGTCTTTGTGTTTCTGATAGTGATGGACACCTGTGGACACAGTATTGAACTGTCGAGTTCCATAAACAGCGGAGAAGGTACTGATTATATTAGGAACTATTAGCTTTCCAAGAAGGAATCTATTCCATTCACATACATACGGGAAACAGGAGTAAGAGCTGTTATGAACTATATGGTATTAAATATTCTCTGAATGGATACAGTTCTCAAAATTGTGGCATACAGACCTGTTACTAGGCAACGATGTGAAATAAGTAACTATACAACGGCCGTTATCAGGCAGCGGTCCGTAAACAGCAACAAAGAATGCAAACAATAATGGAAGAGACGTTTTCTACGCAGTCCGTGCCAATATATTTTAACTAGGACAAGTTGGCAGTTGTAGTCAGCGCCCTAGAGGGCTGCTGGGCTTCAGTCATTGTCAGCTGTTGCTGTTAGAAGCTGGTAGCTGAAGCCGGGGACAGTTCGGGAACCCAGAGGAAGGGGAACGTCCGCCGTTGGAAACTGATACCAAGCAACAGCTAGTAAAGAAGTTATTGTGGAAACTAGTGTGTGTATGTGTGTACGGAATAATCAACTGTAAAGTGTAGTCACGTGCTGTATCAAAGAGTCCACTAATCCTATCATCAGTCTAAAACCCGTCTGTGGTTACAGCATAAAATTCTCAGGCACCATAAAAATACAGAAGGTTCAAATCATATTAATATGCTTTAACTATTTATTCGGTTTAGATCGTCGTGCCATTTCCTTTATTGGTCTATTTTGAAAAAAAAAATGGGCGAAATTTCACTTCTAATTATTTTAACACGTTTTTTTAAAAAACATAAGCCTTGCACCCTGATCACGGACACGGCCGATTAGTTTTAACAGACAATTTGGGCACCTTCTCGGTGTCTAATAATTTTATGGGCCATCATCTTGCGAGAACTGGGCCCATGTACATATATTTTGTAAAATTATTTTTGAATCTCCATAGAATATTAGGATAAGGCCTCTAGGTTGTACAATATTGCATTTCGGTGACAGCGCGACTTTTTTTATTGCTAGTGGGGTGGGACTAAGTCCCTTGCACTGCGGCTACTTCTGGCCTATTTTACCAGCCCAAGATGATATGTGAGAGTGATTGTGGAGCAATTGGTGGAATGAAGATTGGCAGGGGAAACCGAAGCACTCGGAGAAAACATGCCCCAGCGCCACTTTGTCCACCACAAATCCCACTTGACCAGATATGGGATAGAACCCGGGCTGCGGCGGTGGGAAGCTAACGACTAACCGCTTGAGCTATGGCGCGGCCTCAGCCCGACGTTTCGGTTAATCATATCTCCTTCATCTTTAGGGTCGAGAAGTAAGCCAAATTTTCTGCGTGCTTCTGCATGTTCCTTGCTAGGCTTATACTTTGATAATGAGCATAAAGAAGACGATAAATTTATCCGAACCGCAGCTGTAAGAACTTTACATCCACCATGAGCTAACTGTTAACGTTGTCACGAACCTGTGCGGTACTGCTCCACACATGACCACAAGCTACTGAAAACAAGTTTCGTTGTTGCAGTCAAGACTGTCTTACCTTCGACAAAGAAGTACGAGGTCACATTCTTCAGATTCTCCATGATGGGGTTCACAGTGTCAAAGGTGAGCGTACGAAGAGAATTATCACGGAGATCCAAGAAGTGGATGTTGGGCACCCCTCTCAGGACGTCACTACCAAGAGCAGTAAGTCGATTCTCGGCCAAAGTCAAACGATTCAGGCGTGACAATCCTTGGAAAGCCCTGTCACTAATGTACTGAAGGATGTTATGGTCCACGTTTAACTCCACAAGGTTCGGAACCTCAGTGAAAGTGTAATCTCCCAACATGCGTATTCTGTTTTCTTGAAGGTTCAATATCTTAAGCGATTTTAACCCCGTGAAAGTTTCACGGGTTACAACAGGCAACTGATTTCCGTTCAGTTCAAGTTCCTCCAACCTGTGCAGGTGCGAGAACGCTCGATCATGAAGCACACTCAAATTATTACGGCCGATGTACAACTTCTTCAGCTGCGGCAGACCGACGAAGACATCACGATGAAGCTCGGCTATTCTGTTCTCATCCAGAGTTATCTGGCTCAGGTTCGAGAGCTTCGAAAATGCGTGTGGTTTCAGATCAACAATCTGGTTCCTTATCACCGAAATTTCCCGCAGAGAAGAGAGGTTTGCAAACGCGTAGGGAACTAATTCTGGAATGTTGGCATACTGAATCTTCAACTCCAGTAGGCGATGAAGGTGGGAGAGCGCTCTGGTGGGGACAAATCTCAGGTTCCCATCAGGCCGGATATTAAATTTGAGTCTCTCCATGTTACTTTGAGACATAAAGTAATCCCAAACTGCGTCATCCTGTTGTAGTCCGTTGAAGATCCAGCAGGTACTGTCTGTGGCATTCTGATATTCCACTTTGTCACAGAAGCAATCTATTGTCCGGTTAGGATCCTGGATTTCACACAGGTTCTCAGTATTCCTAGAGTGGGAATTCTTGTTCTTGTCTTTATCTTTGCGACCTCTGCCTGAGACATCATGTACCAGAAAACTTGCACAGACAAGGAACAACAGTAGCAGATGTCTGGTCATGTTGCCGCGTGGGAACCGTGCAGACAGTGTCTGGAACAAAGAAGAAACGGCAGGAATCAGTACCAGGCATTTTGTCTCACAATAGGAAAAGAAAGAGGGAGAAAGGAGCAAAATTAAATTCGTGTTAATACTGTATAGAGCTCTCCTATTTTAAGGATCCTCGCAATCTTGCGTAGGGCACATAAAATTCAACCTTTCCACACGCTTCGAAAAACTCGACAATCACTGATATAAATTATTTGAACTTTCATAATCGTGAGGTTTAACACATTCTGTCAATTTAAATTTTGTTTAAAATAAGCCAAAAAAGAGGAAACTTTACATGAAGACTTGCGCGTGTTCTTGTCAACAGGAAATATAGAGAAAGAATGCCTGGAATAAAGAATTTCACAAAATTCGTATGCTCGTAAACTTAACGATAATCCTGTAACAGGCCGTGGAGGCCCATAGGTTTGTGAGACATCGAGGTTCCAACGTTTTCTAGACAATCAGCTCACAGATAGCGGTAAGGTTGTCAGCCTTACGAGCCGGCCGCCCTTTATCCCCAGGAAGATTCATGGTACTCTATTCTGTTAGAGGCTGAGTCGACCCCAGGGGCCACAGTGCGGCTGGAAGGATAACGTCAATTGAAAAAACTCCCATGACACGCTACCGTGTATTCCCGATAATGAGTGGAATGAAAACTGGCACGGCAAATCTAACTGCTATGAGAAACCTGTCCAGCGTCACTCTGCAGACAATATATCCCATATGACCCGATCCAAGCCACCGCAATGGAACTAACCCCCTGAGCTACAGCACGCACCAGGCAGTGTACATGTTCATGCATTACATTGTGAATGCTGGGTTTCATGTTTCGAATGAATAATCTCTGTTTGAAGAATTTTAGATGTAGCTGCAGTAGTTCTCCTGTAATTAAATTATTTTTTTATTGCTAGTGGGGTGAAACCAAGTCCCTTGTACTGCGGCCACTACTGGTCTATTGTACCAGCCCCAGATGATAGGTGAGGCTGATTGTGGAGCAATTGGTTGACTGAAGATTGGCAGTGGAAACCGAAGTACTCGGAGAAAACCTGCCCCAGCGCCACTTTGTCCACCACAAATCCCACTTGAACAGACCCGCGATCGAACCCGGGCCGCCGCGGTGTGAAACCAGGGACTAACCGCTTGGGCTATGGCGCGGCCCCTCCTGTAATGGTAGCAGCAGTAACTGTTCGTAGCGTCAATAGTTGGTAACACGGGTTATGAGTCCTTTACGATTCGTACCCATTTTGACAAAAGTAGCATCCCTTAATGAGCTTACAGGTAAGGAGCAGTAGATAGATAGATAGATAGATACATAGATAGATAGAAATTATCAGACTTACTGAATGTCTATCGGGTCTATGTTTCAGACATGAACTACTTCTATTCATATCCCCCGAAGAGAGTCCGATTTTGGAAACCTTTAAATCAGTTAGCTTGCCGATAATTTCCACGCCTAAGATTCAGTGTGCTCATAAAAGCCTGCCACTGAAACCTATTCTGAGCCAGATGATTCCGTTCCAAAACCTCTTACACTATTATAATCAGATTTCCAGAATGAAATTAGGCGTGAATTTCTATTTTTATCTCATTCTCCTTGATTTTATGTCCCTTAATAATATGAGGAAGAACCAGTAAACGAAACGTAAAATGTGTGATACTCGAACCTGAAAGAAACTTTTATTTCTGGGCATTTCCTCCACCAACACCGATACACTTCTCCCATCGCTTTACCAGAGCTTCGAAACCAGCAGCATAGAAGTACTTTAACAATTGTCTCAGCCACTTCCGCACCTGGTCGGGCATCACCTGCGACTTTCGACCCAGTTGTGAACCGCTTTACGCGGCAGACACATTCCACCGTAAAGAGGAAACATTTCTTTATGAATATCCCCTGCATTGTATCATTTTCCCACAAAAGCGCACAACGGAACGCTGCTCTTCGGTAGTAAACTCGTTAAGCATGGTCGCCATTTTGAATACTGAAAGCAGCCTCTTAACATGAGCATGCTCGTCTGATACCGAGACTGCCATGAAGCTGGTCTGTGCTGCTACCTAGCGATACACATAGAAAACCATTTCCATTTGTGACCTATTTACCGACTCTCCCTCGTATTTAGTAAAGAGTAGAAAAGCTTCTTCTTATGAATCTTTATCTAGTCTCACGTTACTTCACCCTTTAGGTCTAGTTATTTCGCATTTCTTGTTTCGTTTACTCTTTCAGCCTGAAGATTGAGGCAGTAAGTACCTATGAAACGTCTGTGGATTTCTACCCGACTACACGGTATTTCATCCCTTAAGATAGTATTCTTCATAGCCACCGTCTGTAAGAACCTCAAATCCAATAATAATTCAAAAGTTTAATAGGCGTTCTTTGCAAACAAAACATCGGGGCATAATGCAACAGGACATGTATTCTCATACGTGGCTCAGCTCGACTACGTTGTCTTGGGAAAGAAGTTGGCTGCTGTGCGATAGACCATAACAATAAGATCTGCCTGATGGGTACAGACGGTTACAGGAAAAATCGACATTTTGCATTTCATTTTCTAGCGCACTTAATGTTGTTTCCCTGAAGACATCACCTATATATTGTAACGTGTTCCGTTACGGAATAGGCCGTAGAGATGGTTAATTGGTTTATTTAACAATCTACAAATAACGGCTATAATTAATGATCACAATATTACGGGTTTCCACACTTTACAAACCCTACAACAAAATCTCTTAACACAATCTTCACTTGTCTTCACGTACTGATAACGCGGGAGCTATACAAGTCTCCCTGAAATACACACTCCGAGTATAACTGTACTACAGCACTCACTATGTCTGGAAAGCACACAATAAGTCTTCCGCTCGCTGACTTCTTAGTTATCGCACACTCGCAGGCTGCTATGTTTCAACTGAACTCGTAGCTGCTGTGGAGTCCACTTATATATCCTTGCGCTGTTGCTAGTGTGACGTGGCGTATAGCCTAGGACGCTGTTGCTAGTGTGACGTCACTGCTGTTGATTAGCATTGCATAGTTACCAGGTTACGGGGGCTCGGCTATCTTCGGCTCCGCTCGGCNCAGCGGTGACGTCACCGAGGGATACCGCGGTTGCTAGGCAGCAGTAAACAACTCCCGACAGAGTTGCTAGCAACACGGCGCCAGACAACAGTGGTGCCTCTTACCTGGCTGTTTTCTGAGTTGTCCGGAACGAGGCTAGATACGGAGCAGCGAAGACTATTCATAGCCAGTGTGTGATCAACAGTTCTCCATTTAGCCAGTGGAGAGTAACGAGTTAGCCAGCAACCAGTCAGTTGTATTCTGGCATTTGCAGTGTAGTATTTGTGATACTGCAGATAGCAGTAATTGTGAATCTGTAAATTGTGTGATTGTAAGAGCGAATGTGAAATAAAATTCGCTATACCCAATACGGCTTGAATTTATTTGTTGCGTTCTACACCGAACCCGTGACAATATATTTATGTATAGAAATGATCTCCATAAATTACTGAAACTTAACGAAAATTGTGAGAGCCTTTTTCTAGAAAGTCGAACCTTCATGCTTTATCTCAATACAGTTTCCCATTAAACAACAGATATATTATTGTTCTACTGTATGAAATATTTTTCTAATCAGTTTTATCGCATAAAGTAACTGTTTTCTGGCAATTATGGAAAGTGGAGAAATAAAGGTTCATATGCGGCTTCATCAAATACCTTTGAAGCATTAAGGTTACCGTACACACAAATAATAGCTTCCTGCTGTAGTTTTTTAAAATTTATTTCATAAAAGTATCACTCGCCGTTGAATAATTGCTCCTATGAGAAAATTGAATTAAACTACAAGGAAATTGGCAGTGGTCGTAAACGTGTCTGTTCTTCTAAGCAATGTGAGACAAACTTCTAGTGGCATACTTTTTAACGTCTTTTGGCGAAATAATCTCAACACGGAGACTTCAACCTTCCTCCATAAGAAGAATATCTATAGATATGTGACGCCGTGACCGTCCTGATGTGTACTACATTCGGATTTGATACTATAAAACCCAACAGATTTTCATCGGCGTTTCGGAGGAATATGCTCTGCCCATCATTGTGACGAAATTTAAACCAAGCAAGCAACAAGCACAGTTACTCCTGATGTTTGCTGCTTGCTGGTTGCTTATTTGGTTTATTCTTCGACCATAAAAATGAAAGCAGTGAATGTACAAGACGCATATGCTTTAGTAACTAAATAAATTAAGCCAATAGACCACTGTAGGTTGCGGTGCAAGGGCCGAGGACGCCTAGCCCTCATACATTCAACTAAATAAATTCATAATTTCACAATCCATGTAGGCTTATTCCAAATGGAAACAACCATTATCAATATACGCTTACTTTACCTGAAACAACTTCGATAACATAAAAAAAGAACAACTAGTGAGCAATTCGTGTGGCGTACACGCTTATCGTACTTTGACTGAAGATAAAATTAAATTTTAAATTCGCTTAGTGGGAGGTGGAGTCCAGCTGGGTCCACTCGGCACGGTGACCACTAATTGGTCTGTTGTACTTGCCCCGGGTGATTATGATGATGGAGAATTTGGTGGAATGAAGATTGGCAGGGTAAACCGAAGTACTAGGAGGAAACCTGCCTCAGCGCCACTTTGTCGACCACAAATCCCACTTGAACAGACGCGGGCTAGAACCCGGGCCGCCGAGGAGGAAAGCCAGCGACTAACCGCTTGACTTATTGTGCGGTCTTGGCTGAAGATAAATCATACTTGTCTTTGTATACTTCTCTGTGTTCCTTGTAAGGGTAATGCATACTAATTATATGTCCTGTTTTCCTCCCAGCGGAAAATTAAAAAGGTATCAGTTCTTTAATTTCCACATACCAAGGGGGCCACAAATAATAATTTCGCTCTGCAATGTAAAACACTTGTTATGGTCAATACACTGCTTCGTACGTTGAGGCAGGCGCTTCGGCACCAAGATACTATAAAGGAATATATATAAGGTAAAAGTAAAG